AAAGCCGGAAGTGGCGCTGTGGCTCAAGTGGTAGAGCGCTAGCCTTGAGCTGAAGAGCTGAGGGACAGCGCCCAGGCCCAGAGTTCAGGCCCCATGACCCGACCAAAAAGAATAGGAAATCCTGGGATTAAACCTGAAGTCATGAGGATGATCAAGGACCAAAGTCTTAACAAGGTCAATCGACTATGATGAAAGTCTTTCCTTTGGCATCTGCTGTTTTCCTCTTCCTAGATCCTTTTCCTGGGTCCACTGATGCAGCTCTCTATGGATTGTCCGTGTGATCTGGCGGATGGATTGAAGGTTGTCCTGAGTGAGTCTTCAAGGTTGAGTGAAATGTGGGCACAGATACTCCAGAATAATGGGGAGGAGTCAGTGGGCTCAAGGTGTGATCAGGACCGATATCTGGGTTTCTCTATCAGATGGAATTGTGTTACCAGGTGGCCTCTTAAGAGTTTTTCAGTGAAGCCCCTGACACCTCTTCAGTACTTAGCACAGGCCAGAGAGCTTCATTCCCTGTTTCCCCAGCCTTTGGCTTTCCCGGAACAGACTGGTCTTACTGAATGTTGATGTCCCAGAGATTACCACCAGGCTATCCTGCTTCCTTTTTGATCCACTCAAGATGGTCTTCTACCCTGGTCCTATAAATAATCTGTTCCCTTCCCCACTCTCATTTTCAGGAGTATTACTGCCAAACCTGTATTTGGCCTGAGAAAACTTGTGGGAGAGGGGTTTCTGGGGTCTCATTGTTGAGTAGCTAGTCCCTCACTGTCCTGAATCTGCTCCCTTAGCTCCTCGCTCCTGGGCTCGCTGCCTCACAGACATGCGATGGCTTCGAAACCAAGTGATTGCACCCTTGACAGAGGAGCTAGTGTTCCGGGCCTGTATGCTGCCCATGTTAGCACCATGCACAGGCCTGGGCCCTGCTGTATTCACCTGCCCGCTCTTCTTTGGAGTCGGTGAGTCTAACATGGCTCTGCTCACATGTGTCCAGCATGAGGGCTGAAAATTGGTCTTAAGATGGGGGTGGTCCTAGAGGGATATGATGTGACTCTCACCTTCCTCCCAGCCCATTTTCACCACATTATTGAGCAGCTGCGTTTCCGCCAGAGCAGTGTGGGAAGCATTTTCCTGTCTGCAGGTGAGTCTTGGAGAGCTTGCCAGGGGCAGTCCTGGGCTGGAGTGCGTGTGGGTGCCCCTTGCAGCCACTGCGGAGGACTCAAAATAGAGGATTGAGAATTGGAGGGGCTACCAGCCATGGGAGTTGGGGTGCAGAGGGCAGCTGTTGGTAGGGCAGACAGCCACTGCCCTATGGGAAAGGATGGCTTCTGGGTGTGCAGTGCTGGGGTAGGGTGCGTGTGCAGGTGTGGTCACTCGTGGCCTCCCCGTCTCCAGCGTTCCAGTTCTCCTACACAGCCGTCTTCGGTGCCTACACTGCTTTCCTCTTCATCAGAACAGGTTGGTCTTCAGTCTCTCCTGGGTCGTCAGGGGCTCAGGAATGGGTGGGAGAGTGGGAATGCCGTTTGCTCTAAGAGTGACAATCCTGGTTTTTTTTTCCCTACCACAACCTGAGTCAAGCCGAACCATGACCCTAAGTTTGGAGAGGTCTGAGAGGTGGAAGGAAGCAGAGACCACAGATGTGTGGGTGGATGGGTGGGTATGGGTGGTATGTTGCTGAGCTCCTATTTGGAGGTCCTGAGGGTCTCCAGCCCTGGAAAAGCCAGAGGGGGTGTTGGGTTTTCTCCACGAATGCTCTCTCCTCTCCTCAGGACATCTGATTGGGCCAGTCCTCTGTCACTCCTTCTGCAATTACATGGGCTTCCCTGCTGTGTGTGCAGCGCTGGAGCATCCACAGAGGCGGCCCCTGCTGGCAGGCTATGCCCTGGGCGTGGGACTCTTTCTGCTTCTGCTCCAGCCCCTCACGGACCCCAAGCTCTATGGCAGCCTTCCCCTTTGTGTGCTTTTGGAGCGGGCAGGGGCCTCAGAGGCTCTTCTATGCTCCTGACCTTCACTTCTGCGTACACTCCAGTGAACTCTCTCAGACTCTCCAGCCCCTCCCCATCAAGGGGGTACCATGGGCGGAGCTGGCTGAGGTCCCCGAGATCTCAGGAATTTTTGTAGGGGATTGAAGCCAGAGCTAGTGGAATTCCAGGGACCATGAGGAAGGAGCAAATCGTCAGAGGGTGCAGCCCCTCTTGTGAGTGAGCTGAGGAGCAACCCAGAGTGAGAGGATGGGAAAATCCCAGGAGCCACTGTAGCCCTCACTTTGGACCTCTGCTTCTCTTTGAGCCTCTGCCTCTGAAAAGCTGCTTGGGGAGGGGGTGATTTATAAAACCCCTCCTCCAAACTTCCCAGGGTTTTCTCATTGTCTTTTTGCATTGGGACTTTGTATTGGGATATTAAAGAGATTTAACTTGGGTAAACATGGCTTTGGACTTTGGTGATCTGCCTGTTCGGGGTCATGGAGCAGGACTGTGTGTGTGCCTGGCCTTTCCTGGCTAAACTTGAACACTAACCTCTAAGCAGTTCCAAAAGTAGGGAATGGGTGGGGCCTTTTGACTGCTAAGGCCGTGGCTTCAACCTCTGAGTCGTCCTGAAGTTCTAGAGCGGGTGGGTCTGAGACTGTTAGTGACCAGAGAGGCTCAGCTTATCTTGGGGCATGTACTTTGGATACCAGGATCAGGGTAGCCTGAACCTGATGATGGAGCTTCTGTCCTAAGGAGGGTGAAGGACTTTCCCAGGAATTCCTGGCTTCTGTAGACACAAGGAATAGATAGGCCTAGAGTGGGAAAGGAGTTGGGGCCACTGGAGTTTCTTGGAGGAAAACAGAACAGGCAGCATCCCAAGAACTCTGCAAAGTAGTACCGTTGGAGTAGGGCTCTTTTAGTAGTGTTCTTTTAGGATGGTTCTCTTTTTTTTTTTTTTGGTCTGGTCATGGGACCTGAACTCTGGGCCTGGGCGCTGTCCCTCAGCTCAAGGCTAGTGCCCTACCACTTGAGCCACAGCGCCACTTCCGGCTTTTTTCTTTTTGCTTATGTGGTGCTGAGGAATCGAACCCAGGGCCTTGAGCATGCAAGGCAAGCGCTCTACCACTGAGCCATCTTCCCAGCCCTAGGATGGTTCTCATTGCTCTTAAATTCTTGAAACAACACCCTTTAAGGTCCATTCTACATCCCAGAAGCCAACTCTGAGGTAGTATGTAAGGAGAGGACAGTGGATGTACAATGGCGCCCCCATGTTGGCATCACTAGGCCCTGGTGGCATAGCTCTATGCAGCAGGCCTCCCTGGGGGGCTCCCCTCTCCCCCACTGTGTAGAAGCTGTGTGTTAGAAGACTCAGGCCTTCCACCCACTCTACCCACCTTTGCCGTTCATCGCTCACCCATGGCAGTGTATAGGAAAACTGTAGCCAGGATTACTGTCCCTGCCCCAAGCAGGCGAGGGAATGAGGCTTGCTCAGGTTTGTGGGGATGGCAGGGGTGACCCTTCATCTAGTGCTAACCTTAAATCCAGTGCCAGAAGCCATCTCTGCCGTGTTGCTGCCCCTGAGCGTTTCCTGCTGCCCAGTTTAGCCTGTTTCCATTTACTCCTGAGCTAGCCAGAGGTGGGAGGTTGGGCCCAGGTTATAGAAAGTGAATGCAAGCAGGGCACAATGGGACATTCTGTAAGAAAACCAGCATGCTGGAGGCTGAGGCAGGAGGATCCTGAGTTCTAGGCTGGCCTGGGCTTCATAGCAAAGACTCCAAATAAATATAAAAATAGAAGTAAACCACTGTGGCTAGGAAGCAGAATTTGCCAACAGCCTGGATTCCCCATGCCTTGCTCTAGGGGTGGGGGTTTGGGCAGTCACCTAACCCTCCTGTGACTTGGTGTCAAGAGGGGTGAAAGCTGATTCCCTGACGGAGTTCATACGTCCGGTAAGTGCCAAGCACTGGCCTGTCGCTAGCCTATGGTCCTGTTTGGGCTGTGTGTATAATGGGCCCTTGGTAGTAGCAAAAACCAGAGCTGTGATTGTCATCTATGCTACCCTTGAAGGAATTTAAAAAGCCAGCTGACAGCTGGGCACAGGTGGCTCACATATGTAATCCTAGCTACTCAGGAAGCTGAGATCTGAAGATCGAGGTTCAAAGCCAGCCCATGCAGGAAAGTCCCTGAGACTTGTTTCCTCCAATAAACTACTAAGAAAAAGCTGGTAGTGGAACTGTGGCTCAAGTGGTAGAGCGCTAGCCCTGAGCAAAAGCAGCTCAGGGACAGTGCCCAGGCCCTGAATTCAAGCCCCTGGACTAGCACACATGCATACATAACTTGTCCATGAAGAATTAAGAGGCAGCCCTGCCCCCTGGGCCTTTGGGCTGGGGGCAGCACAGGACCCAGTGTGGAGGGCAGGGGAAAGCCAGTTTTATTGAGCAAAGTTTCCAAGACCTTGGATTTAGGTCTTCCCCACCCCCACAGGAGGCGGGTCCCCCAAACCTCCCAAGGGCCCGAGCCCTCCTCCTCTTCCACTTGCAGTCTTCATGAGAAGACCCTTATTTGGCAAGAGATGAGAATGTGAATGTCTGTCCGCCAGGGGAAAGGACAAATGGCTGAAGGGAATGGCTGCTGTCCTGTGGAGTACAGGACCTCCAGATCCAGGCCTTCCTGCCCTTAGGCCCTCACTGGCCTGGGCCTGCCCTAGCAGCGCAGCTTCTGTTGAAGGCTTGGGGTGGAGATGGCCAGGCTGTCAGTCTGGGGAGGATCACTCAATCTCCAGGATGAGGTCATCCCCTTCCAATGTCATGTCCTTGGTCACGTGGACCTTGCGGATCGTGCCCTCCACGGGCGAAGTCACCACAGTCTCCATCTTCATGGCGCTGAGTACACACAGTGGCTGGCCCTTGGCTACCTTGTCCCCTGCTGCCACCTTGATATCGATCACCTTTCCAGGCATGGGTGCCCCGATTTGGCCCTTCACGTCCTTCAGAGCCTTGGGGTGGAAGTGCATCTCCTGCAGACAGAGCAGAGGGAACATGAAATTCTGGCTCTGGCCCATCCCCACCACCTGGCTGGCCACCGGGGAGCCGCACCTTCATGGCTTGGGTGTCCTTGACCAGGATGGACCGCAGTTGCCCATTGAGTTCGAAGAAGACCTGCCTCTGGCCTGCCCTGTTGAGGTCACTTATGGCCAGGGCTTTGATGTGCAGTGTCTTGCCCCGTTCCAATTCCACCTGCAGGAAGAACATGGGGGACTAAAGCTGGAAGCAAGTCAGGAAGGAGCAGGCCCAGACCTCTCCACAGAGGATCTCTCCACAGAGAAGCCCTCTGTCCTGGCCCTCTGGGAGCCTAGCTCCTGGTCTCCCAAGGGTCCTCCTGAAGCTCACAAGACGAAGCTCACAAGACTAGGTGAAGGAGCACTGTGGGCCTGGGGGTGGGGGGTGGGGCAGGGCTGTGGAGGTAGAGAGAAGTTCCAAAACCACTGACCTCGAACTCCTCTGCAATCTTGGGGCCCTGCAGGAAGAGGCGCGTGTTGAGGCTATCTAAGGGGCCAAAGGTGGCAGTGAAGTCCTTAAACTGGGCAAAGACATCCGGATACATGGCTGCCGAGATCACATCCTCCGGGGTAACCTCCTCCCCATGCTTCTCCACCAGCTCCTTTTCCAGCGTGTGCAGGTTCAGAGGGGGCAGGGAGGCCCCAGGCCGCCCCTCTACCCTCCGCAGGTCCTTCAGCACCTGGGGAGCGAAGTAGAGGATCAGCCGCCTCCTGCATGCAGCCTGGGCCGCCACCTCACTGGGCCTTGCCTACCTTAGAGCGGAAGGGCTCAGGGAACCCTCCGTGGGGAACCCCGATGTAGCCCTGGAGAAACTCCACCACTGAGCGGGGGAAGGACAGCTCTTCTGCCTGAGCTTCGGCCTCTGCCCGGCTCAGCCCATTCTGCACCATGAACTGGGCCAGGTCCCCCACGATCTTGGAGGAAGGTGTCACCTGAGGAGAAGGGTCTCTGGAGGTCAGGGTGCCAGGAGGCAAGCATGCTCAGGGTTCTGTGCCAGGTAGGAGCATGGGGCCTCACTCACCTTGATGAGGTCACCCAGCATCTGGTTGGCCTCCACGTAAGCCTTCTTGACCTCCTTGAACTTGGAGCCGAGCCCCATGCTGTGGGCCTGGAAGTGGAGGTTGGTGTACTGGCCCCCTGGGATCTCGTTCTCATACACGTCTGAGTTGCCGGACTTCATGGTGGCTGTGCAGTCAAAGGCTGCATACAGCCCCCGGGCCCCTTCCCAGTACTCGCTGTAGTCGAACACGCGCTCCAGGGGCACCTCTGCAGACAGACCGGTGTCAGGAGGCTCCTGAGCCCCTCCCCGGACCCACGCAAGGCATCTGGATTCCACGTGTGCCGGTGCTGGCACTGGCAGTGGTTTGCAGCTTTTGAAGGGCATGGCTGCGGGCTTCCTACCTGTATCCAGGGAAGTCCCTTTGGCACAGGCCACCAGGGCTCCCATGCTGGGCTGTGACGTCATCCCGGACATGGAGTCAGCTGCCACGTCTACCACATCAGCCCCAGCCTGGGCGCAGGCCAGCATGGCTGCCACACCTGCCCCCGACGTGTCATGGGTGTGGATGTGCAGCGGGAGGTCAGGAAAGCGGTCCCGCAGGGACCCGACCAGCATGGTGCAGGCCGCTGGCTTTAGCAGCCCTGCCATGTCCTAGGGAAAGTGGGGAGGAGGAAGATGGTAAAAACGGGCCTGACACATGCCTGCGGTGGGGGCCAGGGCCGAGTGGGAAGCGACGGGCACCTTGATGCACAGGATGTGGGTGCCGGCTCGCACCAGCTCCTCGGCCAAGCCCATGTAGTACTGCAGCGTGTATTTGGTGCGGCTGGGGTCGGCCACATCACCCGTGTATGAGATGGCGGCTTCCACCACGCCCCCAGCGCTGCCCGCTGCCTCCATGCCCAGCAGCATGTTGGGCAGGTAGTTGAGGGAGTCAAAGACCCGGAAGACATCCATGCCATTCTCTTTGGCCACCTCGCAGAACCTGAGCAGGTAAGAAGGCAGGGGTGAGCCTCATGTGCTCCTCCTGGCCCAGCCAGGGAGTGTGGGGCACAAGGGTGTGGGTGTCCTGGGCCAGGCAAGGCCGCCTCAGAGGCACTGGGCAGAGCTGGCCGCTGCACCGGTCACCTGCCACTTGGTCACCTGCCTGCCCTGACCAGGGAATCAGCCCAAACTCTGCACGTGAGTAGCATGAAGGAAAGCACGGAGGAGTCCCGAGGCCTGCGCTCCACACCCGCCCTGCACCGGAAGCCTAGCACACCCTCCCCTAGAGCTCAGCCACTGCCCACAGAGATAGAGCTAGGACCCTTTGGTTCTGCCACCCAGCATGCCCTGCACGGGGTGGCTCTGCGGACTTGGTGCTGAGCCACTGTGGGTGGCCTGGTGCCCACTGGGCCCCGGACGCCGCGTCTGCTCACTTGAAGACCACATTGTCAGGGTAGTTGGTGTAGCCCACCGCGTTGGCCCCTCGGAGCAGCATCTGGAAGGGGATGTTGGGGATGAGCTCCCGGAGCTCCTGCAGACGCCGCCAGGGACACTCGTACAGGAAGCGCATGGCAACGTCGAACGTGGCTCCTGCACAGGGGCGGAGGGGCTGGGTCACGGGTCACGCATCCCGTATTTGCCCTGGCACTACTCTGCCCTGCACTCCTGCGGCCTGAGCCTCCGGCCCCTGCTCATTTCCAAGGATCCTCATAACCTCAACACCAAACCCCGCTGACTTCCCAGTGCTGCCGCTCAGGGCGGCTCTGGCTCACCTGGGCTCTCCCTGTGCTACCTTTAGAGCCCACAGGTCCTCCCTGCTTCTCTGTGCGGTGATGAACCCGTGGTGATCAAGCAACAGGCCACATCTCCTACTGCCCCCACAGCTGCTCAGGGCAGTGCCCGAGGCTCAGCTCTGCGGCCTCAGGCCCAACACCAGGCCTGGTTGAGCTGCTCCTAGCTGGCGTCTGTGGAGCAAGTGAGCACCAGGCCCTGATGCTTCTCACTCCCATCACCAGCTTCTCTGAGTTCCCAGCGGCCTGGGCTTTGGGGGCTGGCCAGTGGGTACCTGATTCTGCTGCCCAGCGTCCCCCCCTCCTCTAGCCTACCTCCCCAGTTCTCTATGCTGAAGAGCTTGTTGAAGCTGTGGGCAACATAGGGTGCGATTTTCTTGAGGTCGTGGGTGCGCACACGAGTGGCCAGCAGGGACTGGTGGGCATCCCTGAAGGTGGTGTCCATGAGCAGCAGCCCCTGGTGGCCCCGCACGGCTCGAGCAAAGCCCTCAGGCCCCTCTCGCAGAAGGATGTCTCTGAAGCCCGCTGGGGGTGGGCCTAGGAGAGACAAGGACATTGATGTGCCTCCTGCAGGCGGCCATCAGCTGCCCCTTCTGCCCCTTGAGTTGGAAGAATGGGCATCACCTACCTATGGGCACTGCTGGGACCACAGGGTCTGTGGGGCTGGGGCTGGCCTTGACAGGGATCGGCGTGGCGGGGCCGTTCACCATCACATGTCCTGGGGAGAGAGCCAGCAGTGGGTCAGGGCAGGCTGCGCAGAGGCAGAGGTGAGGGCCGCAGTGTGGGTAGGTGGGCTCAGGGAGAGGGACATTCTTCCAGAACACCCGGTCCTCCAGCTGTCCCAGTCCACTCCAAAGGAGCCTCCTGGGTCCAAGCAGTAGAGACCTACTGAGGGCCATGTGGATGGAAAAGAGGGGCTCTACGACCAGGAGCAAGGGGTCTGCAGGACCAGAAGGAGGGCAGGGCTGAGGGTTGGAAGCAGAAGCCAGTGTTGGGGGGGGGGGATGTGGGCGGACCCAGGTAGTGTAGCAGCTTCTGGGCCCGGTTCTGTGCAGGCCGCAGCTGGAACAGCTCAGGATTCTCGTCGATGAACTGGGTGTCCACAGTACCCGCGAGGAACTGCTGGTTGTTGAGCACGTTCTGCAGGAAGGGGATGTTGGTCTGCGAGACAGAGCAGGTAGGACGGTGTTACCACACAGCAGGGGTGGGGGAGGGAGGACGGAAGGGGCTGCAGGTGCTCCCCGACTTCCCTCACCCCCAACCCCCCACCCCTGTTCTGGCAGTCCCCTAAGCTGCCAGAGGCTGGGTACAGGTTCGCTATCCTGGTTCACCCGAGTATGTGCTGAATGCCACTCCCTTCTTGCTTCTTCTAGGGTCTAGAAACATCTGGAGGACCAGAACGGCCTTGTTCTTTCTCATGTGAGCTCAGCAAGCCCAGCTCCCGTTGGCCAGTGGGCGCTTCGCCATCTACCAAGTGACCAAAATCTACACTCCAAAGCCCCACTGCCCGCCATCTGTGACACTGGCCATGGGCATCTTCATGGGCAGCAGCAGCATCGGAGCCACCCTTAGCCAGGCCGCCGCGCCTCTGCCCTGCCTGCCAAGGTCTTCCTGCCCGTGTTTGAAGGGCTAGCTCAGTGGTCCCCTTCCGAGCAGGTCCATCCTGTGTCCTCATCGTGTGTGGTTTGTCTGCCTCCCCCCACCTCCCGCTGAGACTGCTAGAGGCAGGGTGCTGGGCCTCAGTGTGCTCCGGGATTGGCAGGGTGAGAATCCCAGAGCGCACATGGGGGCCTGGGGCGGGCGGCACTGTGCCAGAGCCCAGATGGAGAGGCCACACTGCTCCGACTCTAAGAACGGCAACATGGAGGACACACCTCCAGGCGTAACCCAGCCATGGGTGCTGTTGGAACCCTTAATAGGAACTCGAGGCCCAGCAGGCACCCCCTTGAGCCTGGGGGCGCCTATCACCTGGAAACTTGGGCCGCGAAGGGTGCATTCTCTACCAGCCTCCCACAGATTGGGCCCAGCCCTCCCTTCTACCTACCCTGAGCCTAGCACCCCTTCCCTAAAGAAACAGATATTTCACCTAGACACGAACATGCCCCTGGAGAAGGGAAACGATCAGTCAAGCCAGGTAGGGAGCCCAGAACTGCAGGAAGGGAAGAGTTCCGAGGCCGGCTGACTCTTTCCTCCCATTATTCCTCTCCTGGCCCCTGTGGCCTCTGCCCGGGGCGCTCTGGGCAGGAAGCAGCCCACCGGCTCCCAGCAGAAACTCCTAACCGTGGTCACCGCACCTCAGCGCTGAACGGACTAGGATTCAACCTCTCACTACAAATCGGCCCGGCTTCATCTGCGGGGGGCCGCGGGCTCCTCTTCCCTGAGCGCCAACACCTGCGACCACCGCCCGCCCCTCGGTCCTCAGGAGAAAATGGTTGCGGCGCTTCAGTAACTTGTCCGAAGGCGCACAGCCGGCCCAGGGCCAGAATCCCGCGTCCGGTTTCCCTGGCCACCAGTCCCCTTCCTGCCCCCCAAGAATCAGGCCTGGAGGGAGGACGGAAGGCGGGGGGCCCCAGGTAGCCCAAGGATAACGGAGGCCGTGGGAGATGCTATTCCCCATGTTTCCCAACTGGGTGGGCGACGCGTGGCAGCGGCGCCGCCCCGGCCCC